GTGTCCACTTCTCCCCACAGTTTTGTGTCATCCGCAAACCTGGACAGAGTACATTTCACTCCCTCGTCCAAGTCGCTGATGAAGACATTGAAGAGTATCGGTCCAAGGACCGAGCCCTGCGGGACCCCACTGCCCACACCCTTCCAGGTCGAAACCGACCCATCCACCACGACTCTCTGGGTGCGACCCTCCAGCCAATTCGCCACCCACCGGACTGTGTAGTCATCCAAGTCACAGCCTCTTAACTTGTTCATCAGTATGGGGTGGGATACCGTATCGAAGGCCTTCCTGATGTCTAAGTAAATGATGTTAACCCCTAGTCCTGTGTCCAGGCATTTTGTAAGCTGGTCATAAAAAGAGACTAGATTAGTTAGGCATGATGTACTTGCCACGAACCCATGCTGGTTTCCCCTCAGCATAATTTGTCCTGCCGGGCTCTTGCAAATGTGAGCCTTGATAATTTTTTCAAAAACTTTGCCAAGGATGGAGGTGAGACTGACTGGCCTATAGTTGCCAGGGTCTTCCTTCCTCCCCTTCTTCCTTCCCCTCATGCCTGGCTGCACTGTTCCCCTTCCCTGATGCCCACCCACCTTTTATATGACTTCCCTAGGACACGGGGCTTGCTGGGCCTTCCCCAGTGGCTGAAGGATGCAGGCCAGGGTGGGCACTGCTGCAGGGCGGGAGGCCAGGAAAGGGAGTGCCGGCACTGTGGGAAGCTCCAGCTGGCCCAGGAGGCTGGGGTTTGGAGCTGGGGTCTGCAGCTGAGACCCTGTGCAGGGCTTTGTGGCCCCAGTGCCCATGGCAGGGAGACGGTGTGTGCGGGGCGGGGGAGGGTGGGAATGAGGACTTGCAGGGATGTTTGATGAGCAGCTGTGCTCTCAGCCTGGGATGTGACGGCAGCTCCTGGGCTCAGCACTCATGTCACTGGGCACAGGATCCGTCCCTCGAATTCTCCTGTGGGGAAATAATTAGGATTAAAGTCCATGGGTGCCTCTACATGTGCTCTGATGAGTTCAGGCATCGCCACAGCAACACATGCAGATGCCCCTGGGGTTTAAAAATGGCCGCTGGGGCGCTTTAATTAAAGTTCATCGAATGTCTCGTTGAGTGTCCCGTGGACATTTCTTAAACATGCAGGGACTTAATACATATGATGCTGCCATGTTTTAATTAGAGCGGCTGTCTGGGAACCGTTCTAATTAAAGCGCCCCCCCCCCACCTGTGTGTCTAGGCCCCCAATGAATCAATCTAAGTCTAAGCAGTCCCGTTACTACAATTTTTCCTTCTCAATTTTCCAAGCACAGTGTGTCAGAAGCAGCTCCCTTGCCCTCGATAGCGACTGTCTCTCCAGGACTCGCTGCCAGGGAGGCTGGGGTCTGTGTTATAATGATCTCTCCAGGACTCGCTGCCAGGGAGGCTGGTGTCTGTGTTATAATGATCTCCCCACTGGCTTCTAGGAAAAACGGAAAAAGAGAAACCTTGGGGTGAATCTGCTTTTGTAGTGTTGGCCTCAAAGTCCATATAATGCAATGTCTATGCTGCCTACCTTCAACCATGGAAATGAGGAGCCAGATCAGATGCACCCATAACATCATGGGCTTCTCTACTCGGGGTGCTCCACAGCTCACTGTTGTACAGAAGGACCTTATAACCCCTCAGATCCGACATCTTTTAAGGGTTACGTATGGAAAGACATGTATATACGAGGTTCAGATAAAAGCTGTTTGAGGCTTCCTGTCTCCTTCATGGCTGCATTGTCAGGAAGACACAGCTGCAGGTCATACTAAAGAAGGAGTAGTATGAACAGGGGTCCAGGGTCATCAAAACAGCAGCACTTTGGTGCTTCTAGGGTTTTTAGCACTGAGAGGGCCAAGTGGCTGATGGGAGTTTACAGAAAGGTTTTCATTACACGTGCAGGAAATCTTGGCCCTTGTAATTTTCACCAGAATAATGCAGCCTCCAGGGGCGGGTGCTCCATGGGTGTAAATGGAGAGTGCAGAGTGCGCCCAGGGCAGGAACTAGAGAAAGGGCATTACTCCAATGTGCACTGTAACAGGCCCTCTCCATTGCTTGGGGAAGTGAATGGAAACATGTTAAAGGCGGTTTGGATTTGATGCCATGTGTTCAGAGTTACATTTTTAATGGTGCCAGCACCTTGGAGGTGGAGGACACAGCAGTTCATTGATCTGGACAGACAGACCAATGCACTATGCCAGCTTCATCTCTTTCCCACCCCAACCCTTACAAAGTTCAAAGAAGAAGAGCCATGCAGCAAAGAGCTTACCTGTTCAAGGGCAGAAAAAGGCACAAAAGCCAGTTGCTTCACTTTCAGTATGCTCACCCCGTGTTGATGCAGGCAGATCTACTACAGATGTTAACATTTGGCTTCAGTCAGGACACCCAGGAATGTGTTTACCTCCACCAACTTGCAGCACGGTCAACACCACATGAACAGGCAAATTCACATATTCTCATCTGTCTTGACTCCAAAGATCCTGAACTCCCTCCTGGGGGCTGCACGTCATCTTTTTTATTTTATTTTATTTTATTTTTAAAATTCTGTGTCTTGGGCCAAATCAGTCAAATTGATTCAGATTTGCTCAAGTCAGCAGAGCTCAGTTGTTCAAATCTGTCATCATCTCAGCTTCGATTGCCTGCTGATGCCTCATTTTGCTGTAGCCTGGCGAGTGCTCCCTACTTGGTAAATCTAAGGTCAGAGCTCAACAAGGTCCAGCTGCTACTGACCGCTGTGACAACAGTCCTGTCAATTTAAATGCTCCTAGAAGATGATTGCTGACAGCAGAGCAGAGGCTGCTCAGTGTGAATGTGCTGGTTGCTTGAGAGGAAATCCTGCTTTTCATTATTGCATTTCCACATTGCTATTCAGTAGAGCGGGTCACTAAGACTCTTATTTATTGCTCAGTATCTGGTTCCTCGTTGGAGGAGGGTTTCTAGGTGCTAGGCATCACTGTGCTTTTCATGGGGGTTGTTCAAGTCCAGGGGCACTGAGCAGGTGTATAGGAGGTAATATGCCCTCTTTGGTTATTTTGAGCTCAAATAAAGCCTTCACATCTAGCACTTGAGGCCAGGACTGTAATGTGGACAGTGAGATGTTTCCACCTGCTGAAAAGGGGAAATGCCGGCTGGTTTGCTTGGAAAGCAATGGATAGGAACACAAGGTTCCTTGGATGAATTTGATATCTTTTATTAGACCAACCCGAATAGTTGGAGAACAGTTATTAAGCAAGCTTTCGGGTTCAAAAACACTTTGTCAGGCTGAGGAAGTTTCAGCAGTGGGTGTGTGCTCTTCCTGGATGGAATGAACTTGCTTAATAACTTCTCTCCAACTATTTGGGTTGGTCTAATAAAAGATCAAATTCACCCAAGGAACCTTGTCTACCTATGTTTAGTCCATGATCTCTAGTATCCAGGAGGTTGATGAAATGGAGCTCATAGGCTCATCTCTGGGAAGTGTTGTGTAAGTTTCCTTTGAAGGATAGGACTGGGAGATTGGAGAGAAAGTGGCCCTCCTGTGAGAAATGTGCCCCCACCGGTAATTGGGTGTTTCTGTCTTTGATGGATTCGCGGTGTGCATTCATTCTGGTGTGCAGTTGTTGTTTGGTCTCTCCTACATATCTTCCATCAGGGCATTTGTGCATTGGATGAGGTATACTACATTCCTGGAGGTGCAGCTGTAAGATCCTGGGATGCTGATGGCTCTGTTGTGTGGTGCAGTGATAGTGGGGGTGGTGGAGATGTG